ACAAATTTCCCACCTGTTATATAATTGGCAGTAATGGTTTAATTAAATGGTTTTCCGAATGTCACGCAAGCTCAAACTGTAAGCATGAAATAAGTCGAAACACCTGAAACTATACTAGGCTGTTAGGCTATATATTGTAACCATTCACTATATACCGGTTTACTTAAGGTGTTCTCAAGAAGTCAAGAACGAGTTACTTTCTTAAAAAAGCGTCGTGAGTTTTGTTGCATGTGCTATTACAGAAATTGGCAAGGCTGGAATTTGAGTTATTTCGTTTGAAGAGCCGATACTAGTTGCGTTAATTGAGTTTTAAATCAACAAATTTTATTTCAAAAAGTCTTTGTATTCTGTGTTTTCACACATCAGTTGTGAGCTAGGATCTAAACTGCTGATTATCAAGTATAATCCTATCTAAAAATGATCATGATGGTTTAACAACTCATATGAAAAATCTCAGTCTCTTGTGGTTTTTTTTAAAGTTTTGATAATCTAAACCAAGGTTAGTTTGCTATTTATCAGCACAAGGAATCTATGCAGTGTTTATACATGCAGTCCTTATATATTCTCATTATCCAACTTAGAAATTTCTTAATTAAGGATTTTACAGCATCACCAAAGCATCTAAAAAGTCCTTGTATAGTCTATGTTTAAAACTATAAAGGCTTGCAGAATTCCTGATTTTTACATTAATGGTATTCCAGTCTTTGATCGTCCTCACTGCGAATGTTTTTCCACCTTCCGTTATTCGGTTGTATCGGGGACATATCATGTTAATCTTAGAAAAACGCGTTTCTCGATTGTGAATGTCAGAATTTCTCACCAGCATAGAATTAATATATGCGGGACAGTTGTATGAGTCTTTTACACGTTTATATACTATACTACGTCTTCTAATAAATAGTTCATCAGTGAAAGGAATCCAATTTAACCCATTGAAGAGAGTTTTCGAAAGTGTTGTCTTTTCCGCGCTTAAAATAATCCTTGCTGCCCTCTTTTGTAGTTTCAGTATTCTGTCAAGATTCTCTTTACTGCCACACGAACATACAGCACTTCCATACATAAGCTTTGGTTTAATGATCCCATTATAATAAATTTCGCTTTGTTGTTTTTTTAAATATGGACTGAATGATGTGTTTCAGCAGACCGAGTCGTTTTGAAATCTGTTTACATAGACTGTCAATATGATCTTCGTATGCTAAATCTTGATCTACTATAACACCAAGGAGTTTTTGACTTTCTACTTGAGATTCTGTCGTACTTCCTAAAGCACATTCCATTTGAAGATGTTCATCTGGTATTTTCTTCCTTAAACGCTTTCCGGTAACAAGCATAGATTTGGTCTTTTAGTATTGATGACCATTTTGTTGTTAATGGACCAATTACATATACTATCGAGATCGTTTTTCATGTCTTGAACCATGGAAGGGATATATTGGGCCCAATACAGATCTCTGAGGTACGCCATGTGTTACAAATTGTGGTCGAGATTGTTTACTGTCAATTGTAACGAATTGCGATCGGTTGGTAAGGTACGATTTAAACCATTGAAGGGTGGGCTCACTAACTCTGTATAATTTAAGTTTCTTCAGCATAATTTGATGGTCCACAATGTCAAACGCCTTTTTAAAGTCTGTAAACAAGACGCCAGTAACATTATCTTGATCCATGTTTGACAATATTTGATCAGTAAGTTTTATCAACGCTGATTCTGTGGAATGACCTTCTCGAAATTTTGATTGTAGTTCATACAATAAGTTGTTGTTTACAAGATATTTCATTAAGGATTTGGTCACGTGTTTTTCGAGAATCTTCGACAATACAGATAGTATTGATATTCGTCGGTAGTTATTACTCTGATCACGTTCTCCATCTTTATAAAGGGGGGTAACACGAGCCATCTTCCATGCCGATGGAAATGTATTGGTGGCTATCGAGTAATTTAACAATTTAGTTAATTTTGTGTTCAATATATAGACCACAGTAAGACTTTTTTAAATGTTTATTTCATTAACAAACGACGTTTCGGAGATTTACTCCATCTTCAGGTAGGATTACAATTTACAGTCGAAACACCTGAAAAAAAGTCTTACTGTGGTCTATATATTGAACACAAAATATGCTAATAACATGAGACTTAGGGAAAGTTCGTTCCTAAACATTTTGAAGAATTTAGTTAATGGTTCGCAGAATACCGGTGCAATCCGTTTAAGGAGTTTCACACTTATTCCATCAGAACCTGTAGCTTTATTATTTGACAGTTTATCTATTTTTTCCTGGACATCTTTACTCGTTATTTCAGGAATGCTAAACTAGGCTTGATCGTCTGAAATCTTCGATGATACAAACTCCGCAATTACTGAACAAGTTTTCTTTGGTAGCAATGCAACTATACCTGAAAATATAAGGAGAATTTGGACGTTCCGAGCGAAGGTCCTTCGTCTGGAGTTACTGGAAAGGGCCTTCGCTCGAAACATCGAAATTCGATCTCCTTATATTTTTCAGGTAGTTGCATCCCACCAACGAAAGCTTGTTATTTGGTTTGGACCAAGGGAGCACAGCAGAACGATATTTGACTATTTATATAAATATTTTTACGTATATTTGTCTAATATTCGTACCTGTTTTCATAGACGTTCACTTCATTTGTTCTTTTACTGAAAATCCTTGATGTTTGTGGAAGAGTCCTTAATATATCTTTAGACACACGCGCGAATTCAAATGGTAAATAAACTGCCATTTTGAGAATATCATATTCCCTTCATATTACTATTCACGCCGCCGGCCAGCGCGCTACTTCGTATAATAGTAATATGAAGGGAATATGATATTCTCAAAATGGCAGTTTATTTACCATTTGAATTCGCGCGTGTGTCTAAAGATATATTAAGGACTCTTCCACAAACATCAAGGATTTTCAGTAAAAGAACAAATGAAGTGAACGTCTATGAAAACAGGTACGAATATTAGACAAATATACGTAAAAATATTTATATAAATAGTCAAATATCGTTCTGCTGTGCTCCCTTGGTCAAAAGTGATGTGAAATCTACAAGAAATCTCGTGAATACAAAATTACTCGTGCTAAACAAATAACTCTGAAATGTCGCCTTCCCCCCCTAAACACGTGATAAGTCAATGCTGCCATCTACTTCCGGCTGGTCGAAATTGACCAGCCGGAAGTATGTCTGCTGCCAGATGTTACAAGTCTCTCTTCTCTTTCCTCCTCTCCCCCTCAGCGGTACGTCATGTAACGTACAATATAGTGGGTCTCCACAAAGAGAGACTTGGAGCAAGTCTAGTGAGCAGGCTACATCTTCCATGACCTTTTAATCGAATTAACGGTTAATAATTTGAATAACAACTGACAAATTTAAAAAAATATTGCGAAATTCAAACTCAAATATGGAACGTTTTGTCACTAAAAGAAATGCGAATCACCCGTTTCAAAAGCAACACACGCTCTTGTATTTAGATGGTATAAAGCTTTTCAATAATTTTAAAACAATTGTTCTTGAATCGATCAACCGTGAATATATTCAGTTATCCACGACTTTGAACTTTGTCTATGACTGTCTCTGGACTGTAATCCAAACGGCAGTCTTTACACAAACCGGTCACGATATAAACTCGTCTTCGGCGTGTGTGCAGACTTAAGATATATCAATAGACTATTTAAATTCAAAAATAAACTATACATGTACTTCTGGGGCGAAAAAAATGGCAGTAAATTTAAATAAACTCTGAAACGGTTTTGATAATTCGGTTAATATAGACCTTTTTGTAAGTATATAAAACACCGGTGCAATTTGGCTTGTATTTTGTAGGCTTTGTATGAATTATCAAATAAGTGACAATTCTTTCAATAAGTGACAATTCAATTCAAGGAGAATTCAATTCAGTGACAATTCAGTAAGTGACAATTTATATCAGTATATTGTTATTTTGAAACTGTATACTAATCATAAAAATATTGTATGAGCCTGTAATATATTATATATAAATCAGTTGGAAAAATAGTTTTAGTCATGCGCAATATCTTTGTAAGTGCGTAACTACGTCACTTCCGTCACCAGTTGTTGCGGTGCACATTGAACGAAAGATTTTCGGCGTTTCATCCCTTTCTTATTTATGTACGGGCTACACCCTCGGCATCCTTTCGTAAGATGTTCGGAAATTGTCGTTGCAATGCAATGATGTTTGAATTACATGAAGTAGAAGGCATCATATTATCGAAAATATAAAAATCAGGTAAATTTATCCTTTTATGACTTTGTCTGCAGATTGTTGTGATATAAATATCCGATATTGGTTGATGACAAGGTATTTATAAAACACAATCGTACTTTTCTGCCCCCTGTGAATACGTCAATGAAATTTTAATGTTGTAATGCATTCTATGTTACAAATTATCATATATTAAACCAAGGGAGCACAGCAGTATTGTTTTCGAGACTTTCGTACCTGTATATGGCTGTAAAATCTCTGAATAGGTAGTCCTTGTCTTCTTTGGTTCGCTAATTTGCATATAAACACTAAAACACTGTTTTTAAATTCGTAAACAAGCCAACAATTTCTTTATAGCAGCTGGGAAATTTGTTGCGCATGCGCCAGATTTCCATTGAAACTTGAAGATTTCCCCGAAGAAATAACGAGATGTTCGTGGTTGTTGTATATTATAATATTTTTGAATGCCTGTTTAATCTTTATAATTTTTTTGCTCGAGACAAAGACAAAGTAAAATGTACTCTACGTTTCCAGTGTATAAAATATCTCGTTTGTGTTTGAACAGCAATAGAATATTATAAACTTGACACAAACAAGAAGACATTTGACACGCTAAATCTGCAGTCATGCCTGCCAATCGTCGCAAGCTTGACAGCCTTGTCAAACGCAAAACAGGTACTAATTTGGTTTTAAACAGAAAGAAGTTCAATGTTAATACCACTAACATATATTCTATAGAAATACGGGTGGTTTAAAATGTTTTCAATTGAATTTTCAAAGCTTTTATCTATCGACATGATAATCAAACTGTGAAAATGCCGGCTTTTGTTGACGCTTGCGAATGCAAAATAACTTCCCGTAAACAGAGCATTTCTACACAAAACTCTCGCTTAGTCTTCTGATGCACTTGTACGTTCGGTTCTACTAGTTAAACAAGGAAAATATTCAAGAAACACTGGTAAATTATCGTTGTCAAAAACATTTCAGTCGGAGGCAGTACAAGGTCTCAAGGGCAAGGTCAAGTTGTCGATTTCATTACATTTTTACAGTACTTCGAATGTTTTCGAACTCTTGTTCCATACAAGAGCAGTAAACGCACGCATTTCAAAGCGAAATTAGACGCAAAGGGGCAATTTTTCAACAAAATTCATTGTTAAATTATGTTTCCTATGTGCCTTGGGAGCAAAAAAATATGATTTTAAATTTGGAGATTTCGGTAATTTTTTTTGCAATTTGGCCTGGTATTGCACCCTACCTATGTACTAACTGTGCTGTAAAAGTAATCAAATATACTATTTTTAATTTCCTTTCATTGAAAGGATCTACTATTGTGGACTAAACTAAATTTTAATCAGCATGTAAGGCTGCAAACAACAGCCAAGAATTAGCTGGGTAGTTTGCAAACTTTAAAAATAATGGACCTCAAACTTTGATCTCCAGAAGTAAACAAATAGACAATACTGCGAACATAATCCAAGTTTTGATCACGAGGGGCAATTTTTAGATGTAAAAAAACTTGTTTAAATTACATATCAAACTAAGACAAAACAAAATTTGGTATTAAATTTTTGGTGAAATCGTCAAAGTTTTTTGCTATTCGCCCACACTTCTACACCCCCTCTCCCAGGATATTCTACCTCAAAAAACAGTTTTCTGCAGAAACTATGCTTTTTTATCGGAAAAATGT